CCCTATCCACCCCCCAAAAAAAGAAAAAGAAAGCAATTACAAAAACTTTAGGATAAACAAAAATAGGTTACAAATAAGTCATGGCCCAAATGTACAGCAGACTAATACATAGCATGATTTTGAGACATTCATAAAGTAAGAAAGTATTGGGCTGGGGTTGGGACTCAGTGGCAAAGGGTGTGAGGCCCTGGGTTCAATCCTCAACACTACATAAAAATTAACAAATTAAAATAAAGGCATTCTGTCCATCTACAACTACAAAAAAAATTTTTTTAGGGGGCTGGGGTTGTGGTTCAGTGGTAGAGCACTTACCTATTATAGGTGTGGCACTGGGTTCAAACCTCAGCACCACATAAAGATAAATAAATGAAGGTATTGTGTCCATCTATGACTAAAAAATATTTCTTAAAAATTTTAAGTATATTCCATTTGCAGTTATTTTTAAGTGACACTGGAATTGGTTCTGGATCTCTGGAAATTGTGACCCACTGCAGTGAATGATATTTCTATAATGACAATACTGTAAAGGCTACTGAATGCTTTTCAACTTTTAGAATCCACTGATGGGTGAAACAGGAAGATAGATATGTTTACATAATCATAATGGAAATGTAACTAATCTCCATAATGTCCATACAAAGTGGACCGAAGTTGAGTTGGAAATGGGAAGAAGAGGGAAGGAGCATGGGGTGGGTCTTGTGATCCTGTTACGTGGTAGGAAGTCAGGAAACTGCCACGTTGATGAGTGAATGAGCCGAGGTCCAGTTTATGACTCAAGTTACACATTTGGGCAACTAATTGAAGAATGACATAGCTATCAAAAACTGGAAAACCTGGAAAGCAGAGGGGGAGGTGGTATGAATTCAACAACTTTTCAGAATGAGCAGTCTAAGGAAATATCAGTGTAAATACATAATCAGGAAGATATGGACAGAAATGGTTGAAAGTGGTAAATCTAGGAAGTGGTACTGAAAGTGGAAGTGGTACTGAAAGTGAGCAGAAGAGAAGCAAAGGTGGTTTTGATGACAAATAAGTGATTTGCTTTGATAAAAAGAAACAAGAGCTGGTATGGTGGCATGTGCCTGTAATCCCAGGGACTCAGGAGTCTGAGGCAGGAGGATCAGAAGATTGAGGCCAGCCTCAGCAATTTAGGGAGACCTTGTCTCAAAATTAAAAGGGCTGGGGCTATAGCTCAGTGGTAAAAACACCTCCGGGGTTTAATCCCCTTTACTGCTAAATAAATAAATGGATGGATGGATGTGSGAAAGCATCCCTGGGTGCAATCCCCAGTATAAAATGAGGGAAAAAATTATATTGACAGCAACAAAATTATTTAAACAAGCAACATGATGTCCCAGTGAATTCTAGTTGTTTGTTTTTTTTTTTAAGCTTAGGCAAAGAAGCACTTAAGTGATGGAGAAATGCTCAATAACTGTAGATATTTCATCACTTCAATGCCAAGAGAAAGCCTGAAAACATTTTAAGTCTTCCTAAAAGTTGTCCTGATGCAGGGAGTTAGGGCAAGGGGAAAAAAAAAAAAAAAACTCTTATAGACACTCAGTTGCCATTTTTGATAAGAGACAGCTTGGATTTTTTTTTTTTTTTGAGGGTTAAAAAAAATGAACTGCTGTGTGATTTTTCTTAAAGATTTAAGATCCCTGGAATAATTAAAGAGCTTATCTATTTATTACAACAGTGAAGCACTTTCTTTGTGTAAATGTTCACTTATTTTTCCCATAGAGGCACACACCTCTGATTTCATTATGCTAGTGGTTGAAGCTGACATCTATTGTGCATTAGCTTTGGACTTACTCCTTTTGAAGGGCCGGGTAGGCAGGCTCCCAGGTTCACCCCCCCAGGCTGTGATGGTGTGGTCTCAGAGGCTGCTGACCAGGAGGTGGACCCTGGATGGGGGAGGGGGAGACCGGAGGGGAGGGGAGGCCGGCCACCGAGCAGTGTCCTGTGGTGCCATCCGGTGGTTGTGGTGCTAAACCAGAGCATGTCTTCCTTTTCTTCTCTCTAGGAAGGCTCTTTTGTCTACTTTTCCTTGGTAGGAAATGTTGCTGATTCCGAGGGCTTGATTGCTTCTTTATGTAAGTAATTAAAAATATTTGCATTTGAAATGTCAGAGGACATGTATTGCAAGGGTGGCTGTCAATTGCATGCAGGCCCCTAGGCCTACTGCAGGATTCCATTTCAGTGGGTGACTCTGTAGAAACAGATAATAGATGAGTGGTTGCTGAGGGCTGGGGGTGTGGGGTGGGAGAGTTGGGGGAAGTGAAGAATGACTGCTAATGGGGGGGGGGTTCTTTTTTCCAAGTTAGACTGCGTTGATTAAAATCTGTGACTATAATAAAACCTGTCTAAACAGGGGAGTTGTGCGGGCTGTGAATTACATCTTAGTAAAGATGTGTAACTAAAAATGTGAGGGCAAGCCATGCACAGCCGTGCACACCTGGAATCCCAGCAGCTTGGGAGGCTGAGACAGGAGGATTGCAAGTTCAGAGCSAGCCTCAGCAATGGCAAGGCACTAAGCAACTCAGGGAGACCCTGTCTCTAAATAAAATACAAAATAGGGCTGGGGATGTGGCTCAGTGGTTGAGTGCCCCTGAGTTCAATCCCCAGTAACCCCCCAACCAAAAAAAAAAAAAAAAACCTTTATTTTTATTGTACATCTCCATTTGTATTCTTATAATTTCTCGGACTCCTCCCGCCCTGATGAGCTATTGACAGGTTTTCCGCAGGTTTTCTTCCTGCCCATGGACATCAGCCGGCGTCCACTCAGTGCCAGCTTCCCTGCATGAACTGTGTCCATACTGGCAAATAAATGAGCCCCGCAGCAGCATCTTTCCAGGGGCACCGCTGGGCTCCACCCCACCCACCCCGTTGCTTTCAGTCTTCGACATCACCGCCTCCAGCCCTGGGTCTCTGTGGGGCTGCTGTTCTCGCCTAGTGTTAGAAAGCCTCCAGAGAGTTGAGCTGGTTGGTTAGTGCTTCTGAAGACAAAATGTGGCCTCTCTGYGGCCTGTGTCCCCTGCAGTGGAGGACTCTGAGCCCCTGAGTCCTGCGGCTCAGGTTCCAGGGCAGGCCGAAGCAGCGCAGCAGCTTGGTGGTGAGCCTTTGCATTCACCCTCGGTTGAGGTTGGCTGGTGAAGCCCAGAGGCTGCGGGATCCAGATGAGTCGCTGCCCCTCTCTGGTGAGCCTCTCTCTGGTCCCCTTTGTCAGAAGCCATGTGACCACCTCTGGCCCTGGCTGCTCARCCATCAGAGAAAGTAAATCACTCGAATTTGGCTTAATCCTGTGAAGTGGGAATGCCAGCCACAGTCCTTCTCAGTCATCTTGACACTTCCGTGGTTCACCTCAGAGAAGTAAAAACTCSGSGYGTGGTTGTGGCTCAGTGGTAGAGCATCTGCCTTGCATGTGTGAGGTGCTGCACCTAAAAATAAATAAAATAGGGGCTCGGTGGCAGAATGCCTGCCTAACCTGTGTGAGATGCTAGTCTGATCCTCGACAGCACCACATAAAAATAAATAAATAAAATAAGGGCTGGGGATATAGCACAGTTGGTGGAATGCTTGCCTTGTATGCACAAAGCCCTGGGTTCAATCCCCAGCATCATTATCATCATCATCATAAAATAAGATAAGGGTATTGTATATAAAAAAAAGAAGTAAAAACCTTAATGAAGGTGCCCTTTATTTTCATGCAAGTAAAAAGTGAGGACTTTTTCYCGGACCCCACAGTGCACAAAGTCACCTGGAAGTCTTACTCAAATTCAGATTCTGGTTCAGAGGGTCTGGGCCGGGATCTCCCAGGCACTGTCCCTTGTACTGCCCGTGGCTTCGGAGGCTGTAGGCCAGCTGTGCACAGGTCCTCGTCTCCACTTTGATCAAGCCCACAGCAGTGGCTCAGCTCAGGGAAACCTCCTCTGGCCTTTAGTTGGTATCTTTCCCTTTAAGCCTCTGACTAAGCCCAGCTGTCAATCACAAAATAAATGGGAACGACCAGGTCACTGTGCTCCTGGATGCCGCTCTTTGCCCTTTGGTTTAACTGCCAAGGAGAGGTCAAAGTCCTGCAACAGGAGGAGAAGCCGAGGACAGGGAGAGCAGGGCTGGCTCCGTGCAGCCCGCCTTCGTCCCCAGCTCTTCACAGTGACCTCTGAGCTTTGCCGGCTCCTCTGTTCTTTCAGACATCTGTTCTCAGCCCCGGGGCCGTGTGCATGCTCCTCCCTGAAGCACTCTGCCCCCTCACCTGTGTCAGAGGTGGCCCTGGTGGCGTAAGGCCTAAAATCAAAATTCCATACTCTGTGCCTCACATCAGTCAAGGGCCTCCAAGGGCCACCTTGCAAGGCCCCCACCCCCTGGGCCTCCCGAGGAGTTTCCCGAGCCATCGGCCTGCCTCTCCCTGGGGAGGAGGCTCAGCTCCTGCCAGCCCACAGAACGATTCAGACAAGCCAATCGCCACCTCTCGGGGGAACCGGGACATAACCCACCTTCCTGTCACTACCACCCTGCTTCCATGGCCCCTGGAAATTCACTGTGTTCCCAGGTGACCCTCCACGTCGTCCTAAAGACGCAGTGACTCTTGCCCAGGCTTTGAGGGAATGGGACTCCTCAATGGCCACCCTCCTCATCAGTCCAGCGCCAGGTGTGTTTGGCCATCTCTGTGACCCGCCRAGTGGGACTCCCTCCTTCCCAGCAAGGTGACAGGAAGCGATCAGAACATCTGTCTAGGGAACTGCCCCTGATCCCTCTCTGGTGCGGGTCCCCTCTCTGACCATCACTCTGCAGGTGTTGCTCTCCAGTGTGGGTCTCGCACGGGCAGACGGGCGCCCTGGTTGCTGCTGCATCCTCAGGCCTAGCGCAGAGCCTCCCGGGAGCCCAGAGGAGAGTTGTTGAGTTAAAGAGGGAATGAATGGTGGCTCGGAGTTGTTTGGTTTTTAAGGTCTAATACCCACTCATCTCTTGGTCCCTGAAGCACTGGCATTTTACTTAAGTGGCATTTCCTTAGATGTGGGCTGCACTGGCTGATTCACCTCACCTGTCACATACGCGTCMATTCAGGGGGAACTTTTCCGGTCAGTGTTCCATGGCTTTCCCCTCAGAACAGTGATTTCAGAATCGGGTCAGCTAAGGACAGGCTGGATGACTTGGCATGGCCTTATGGGGGACCTCCTGGCAGATAATCTTGTGTGTTATCTCATTAAATAGAAAACCCTGTTTATTGTCCTTTTTCCTTCAGGACAGCTTTTCATGGGAAACCTTTGCCTGGCCCCAAGGGATCCTTCCTCTGACCATTATGAGACTCTCCAGAGGTTTACACTGCTTAGACCAATAAGATATCAGAACTCCTCTTTTTTTTGGGGGGGGGTGGGTGCTGGGGATTGAACCCAGAGATGCTTAACTACTGCGCCATATCCCCAGCCCTGTTTCACTAAGTTGCTTAGAGCCTCACTGAGTTGCTGAGGWTGACTTTGAACTTGCAATCCTCCTGCCTCATCCTCCAATGCTAGGATTACAAGTGTGCACCATTGTACCCAGCTATGTTGAAATATTGAAATAAGGAAATACAATGCATCTACACAGTTCATTATTAAAGACTGACTATGTTGGATTAATACAGGATTCTGTTACTTATAAAGGCTCRAGGGTAGAGAGGGGTCATTTGTGTAGTCACTTTGGAAACTAAATTAGTTTACAACTATAACRTATTGTTATTATGTTGTTGTTGTGAAGAATGTAAAGAGAACAGCAAGTATTCTTTTGATCTCCTTTTTTAGGGAAAGGGGTCATTTTCATTAACTGTCATAAAAAAAAAAAAAAGTGTTTGCCAGATGACTAACAACAGGCATTTTATCTTTAGGGAAAGAATATGGCAAAGCTGATGCAAGATGGCTTTATTTTGATCCAACCATCGTGTCTTTGGAAATTCTGACTGCTGTCCTGGATGGGTTTCTAGCATTGTTGCTCATTTATGCCATAGTCAAAGAGAAATATTATCGGTAAGTGCTCTTCTGTCCTTTCAAAAAGAGAAGAGATGTCTGTCCCCAGTGCCAGAGTAACATTTGGAGCAGGTTGTGACCAAATTTATTTGTAAGATAAAAAGTAGAATACAAATGAAAATTGTGCAGTATTAGATGAGAGTCACAGTGCACTGGGATAATTTGGGACCATTCAAATAAAAAAATATGAGAGCCAGGCACCRGGGCTCATACCTGTAATTCTAGAGGCTCAGGAGGCTGAGGCAGGAGGATCGAAGGTTCAAAGCCAGTCTCAGCAAAAGTGAGGCACTAAACAATTCAGTAAGACCCTGTCTCTAAATAAAATATTAAAAAGGGCTGTGGATATGACTCAGTGGTTAAGCGTCCCTGAGTTCAATCCCTGGTACAGAAAAAAAAATTTAAAATAAGAGAAATAAAATTCTGGTAATGACCCTATCTCTAGGAAAGCAAGAGTGGTGTTAACAGTGTTAGCTGATTGGCCACCAATATTTTGGAGAATAAAGGGGTAATATTTTCCCCTTTTCCCCAAATCATTCTAGAAAGCACTTCTCACTTGACATAAAGTAAATTCTTTTGTATACTTCTGAGTTAGACATGTAAGATAAATAGGAGACCAGGTGTGGTGGTGCACACCTATAATCCCAGTGACTCAGGAGGCTGAAACAGGAGGATCACAAGTTCAAGGCCAGCCTCAGCAACTTAGCAAAACCCTCAACCATTTAGCARRCCCCTGTCTGAAAATAAAAAGGGCTGGGCATGTAGCTCAGTGGTAAAGTGCCCCTGGGTTCAGTCTCTCATACCAAAAAGATAAATAMGAGATCTTTTTAGAAGCAGGTTGGGGAGGGTTGGGGAAGTGGAAGGAGGAGGAGTCCTCTGAGCAGACTCTGAGACTYTAATTCTCCTCCTTCCCTCCCTTTTGTTCTCTCCTTCTGAGAGACAAAGTGACCTRGGTAAATAGAGGGGATGATGCCCTCAAACAATGTCAAATTGGTACAATTGCACTCTATTTTCTACTTGAAGAAGTATGATTTAAAATTTAATCATAAAGCCTCAGATTTGAAAGGGGATTCCAAGGTCATTAATTTACTTTTCCTCACCCAATTTTATAGCAATAGTTAACAATAAAAATTAAATTTCTCCTTGGTGCCTTACCATATTTTGGACCCCAGGACCATGGTGGCAAACGTACCACATGCACCCCTGCGTTTGTTATCTGAGAGACACAGAATCCTTGCATCACGGATGACCGTGTGCCAGACACAAGTGCTCGGCCACTATCTATGTATCTCGTTTAGTCTCCACGACACACTGAGGAAGAGGCCCCTTTTTTGCCAGATGAAATTGTGGCTCATGAAAAGACTCAGATCCTTCTTTGCTGGGCCATAAATCTTCTTCAGAATAGTCCAAGAGACCTAAGAGTCCTTATTCACTGAGAATGATCTACTAGAAAGGGCAAGGCAGCTTCTCCGAGGCAGGACCCAGTCTTTGCACCGATGGCTTTGAYGCGCCCATCAAAGGAGCACTACCCAAACCCAGCGGGGTCCAGCTCAGAGAGCTTTTCTGTAGGGATGTCGTGATCCAGGGTGTGAGCGGTGCTCAGCTGTAGTTTGACTCCATGCTTCTTCCCTGGGACAGGCATTTCCTACAGATCACGCTGTGCGTGTGTGARTTGTACGGTGACTGGATGACCTTCTCCCCAGAGTGGCTCATCGGGAGCCCCAACCTCGACACCGACGATTGGCTCCACTTTTGGGTCTATCTCGTGTTCTTTAACGGTGTGTGGGTTCTGATCCCAGGACTGCTACTGTGGCAGTCGTGGGTAGAGCTCAGGAGGATGCATCACAAAGGAACCCACTTAGGGAAGAAGTTGCGGTGAATTTTCAGAGCCACGAACACTGCCCGATGAGACGGCGTGGAGCGAACATTCCAGTCTCTGCTTTCTTTTTTCATTGCTCTTCCTGAACAGCCTGTTTCAAGTTGGTCATAAGGTGCTAAGTTTTTGTCATTGTTGTCGTAGTGGTTGTTATTCATTAAATAGAAGTTTAAGAAAAAGAGGGGGCTGGGGGCTGGGGGTGGGGGTAGCTCGGTGGTAGAGCACTTGCCTGGCATGTGCAAGGCCCTGGGTTTGATTCCTAGCACTGGAGGAAAAAAAAGCAGAGGGAAATAAATTGTATCTTGTAATAATCACATTGAATTTTACCTTCTTTTATGGCTGGCATTAATTGTTCCACATTAATAAAGCCAACTATTATAGAATACTGTAGAGAGTGTCCCATTAATTCTTTATTCCAGAAAACCTGATGCTTCCTCTTTGGTCTCAATAGTCCCTTTTGGGTGCCAATATAAACCCCTCCTCTCTCCCCCTCCTTTTGTACTGGCAAGTGAAGTCAGGCAGACRTGAGGGTTTTAGCATTCATACTCCAGGTGTTCAACAGGCAGGAGGAATAAAGGGTCTGTGRGCTGAGTAGCCCCAGGGGTGGCCTTACTGGTGGTGTCTCCCTGRGGAGAGTCCACTCTGTAGTCACCTGGGAGTCATCTCTCAGTGCTTAACCAAGTAGCTGAACCCTATAACCCAGCAATTTGACTCCTAGATACTGACCTCACACARATGGCTGATATGTGCACCAAAATGGCAGCAACTTTTCATAATAACCGCTAACTGGACACAACCTAAATGCATACATAGGCATATGGTCTATTCATAGAATGGACTATTGTATACAGAGAAAATTAACCTTGTGCTGCTCATAACAACACGGAAGAATTTCACACACATAACGGTAAGTGGAAAAGACCAGACCAAAAGAATATATACTGTATGGTTCTATTTGTGTAAATTTCAAAAGCAGGTCRAGCATCCTTTAACTGAAAGGTTTGGGACCAGAGTTGGATGTCTCTGATTCCAGAGGAAAATTTGCAGAGACTTGGTGGGTAAGCATTCCTCATCTGAAAATCCAATAGCTCCACAATCTTTTCAGCTTTTAGACTTTTGAATTCAGGGTCCTCAACCTGCAAGTCTAATGGATGGTGTTAGAAATGAGGATAGAGTTTGCCTGTGGGAGGAAGGTGCGGGTAGCGATGGGGAGAAGTCTCGCAGGGGCTTCTGAGATGTGGATAGCATTCCATTTTTTTCTCATTTGAGCGGTAGTTATAATTTGTGACAATTCATTTGGCCATATGCTTACAAATTGTGTGTTTTTCAGTATATATGTTACTCCTCAACTTGAAAAGTTTATTTTTAAAAGATTTCTCTATGGGTGAGGTGACATATGCCTGTAATCCCAGCGGCTCAGGAGGCTAAGGCAGGAGGATCGAGAGTTGAAAGCYAGCTTCAGCAAAAGCAAGGCACTAAATGATTTTATTTAGAGACCCTGTCTCTAAATAAAATACAGAATAGGGCTGGAGATGTGGCTCAGGGGTCAAGTGGCCCCTGCAGTACCAAAAAAAAAGAAAAAAGATTTGTGGTATGAAGCCCCCAAAATGTCTGCAGTGGATCTTCATGAAGCCCCTGTCTATGTCCTTGACAACAAGGTGGCAGGAGGGTCTTCCATGTGGATGGACAGGGGATGCAGATGAGAGAACCTGGCTGCAGCTCTCTGGAGGGATCACGCAGTGTTTCCAGTCCTCTGCTCTCTGCTGACCCAGCTCAATCCAGGGTTCAACAGAGGAGAGCAAACCCGATAGGCTGCAGGCCCTGGAAACAGGACTGCCCTCAACCAGGGAGTGAATGGGAGAGAAAAGGAGATTATAGGCTGATGGGGACTTGGAGAGGATGCACTCTGCTGCCAAGCAGAGACGGATCTAAATGTTTTCACAATTAAGTGAGGGTTGGTGTYCCTGGCTGACAGTGAAGGAGGCTAGGGGGCAGGGGGAGGACCTTCGGCTGACGGAGGAAAAGCCATATGTCATTGATTCTAAGAGAGGTTTTCCTCCCACATTTTAACCTTTTGAAAATTAGGGTGCATTTTACAGTTGTGTCGTGATTTAGTTGGCAGTGGGTATTTGCTTTCAAAAATACGTCTTATGCTTGATAGCTGCTTAGAGTTAAGGAAACAAGGCACCACTTTCGGAGGGTTTCTCTTAGCGCCTCCGAATCTTCAGCWACTAGGAGGTGACCATTTCAATTTATTGAACGTCTAAATTTTACCTGGGCTCTTGAGGATCATCTTCTCCAGTCCCTTCTCTATTCTCCCCATCACATTTGTTGCCTRGGAACAGGCCATAGAAGACAAGCTTTAATGAATATATAAAATAACTTGCAGCAGGAGATGAACAGCTTATACTGTAGGATGGAGAGTATTCAAACAGGCCTGGAAACAGGCAGCGCCTTTCCACATTGTCGATGCTCTCGTGTGCCTTACAAGCGCTGCCCTCCWGGTAACGTTGAGACAGATGTCAGCGTCACCCACCTGAAGGCAGTCTACATCATGATGTTTTCTTGTATATGATTGTGTCAGCACCACTGCTCCTAAAATAACTAGGTGGCTCTAAGAGGAACTTGCACTGTGAGAATTGTAAAAGAAAATCTAGTCAAAGAAAGGGTAGATGGAGGCAAAATAGTTTGGAGAAGCATCCTTTGTATTTATTTATTTTTTTTTAAATTTGTAGTTGTAGATGGACAGCATGCCTTTATTTTATTTGTTTATTTTTATGTGGTGCTGAGGATTGAACCTAGTGCCTCGCAGGTGCTAGGCAAGTGCTCTACCACTGAGCTACAGCCCAGCCCTGTTTTTCTTGAYTTTTAATTATTATTAAAATACAGGTGCTCTCTTTATGTTTGTTTTGCTAGGAGTTTGACTCTAAAGAGAAATCAACTATAAAGAGAATCATGGGCAGATCTTTAATTTTAACTACACACCCTCCAGGTGATAGGTAGCACCTGGCAGGTGTAGTTGGGCACCTGGGCCAATCCTCTCCACCCACTGCCTCTTGAAGGCTCTTTACTTTCTCTCTCTTTCCCCTGCTCCTAGTTCTGCCTGGACATCCTGCAGACCCCAGACCTAACAACAGTTCATCTCTCACCACCACTTCACTGTAGGAAATAAATCACATCCATTAATTAACCTTAAAGGGTTCATCACAGTTTGGTGTATTACCCTGTTAGAGTGTGTTTGCACCAAAAAAAAATTTTTTTTTACAGGGATTGGGGGTGGTAAATACCTGTCCAGCACGTGTGACCCCAAGTTTGATCCCAGCACTGAAAAAAAAAAATTACATTGTTGATACACATTCAATGCTGAAAMTGGAAAATTAAGATAAATTAGAAACATAAAGCCAGGCATGGTGATGCACACCTAGAGTCCCAGTCACTGGGGAGGCTGAGGTAGAAGGATGGCTTGAGTCCATAGGTGTGAGACCAGCCTGGGCAACATAGCAAGATCCCATTTAAAAAGAAAAAAAGAGGGGCTGGGGATAGAGCTCAGCTGGTAGAGTGCCTGCCTTGCATGCCCAGGGCCCTGGGTTCAATCCCCAGTACCACAAAAGAGAAAGAATTAACCCTCTAAGGTCACTATTACAAACTTAGTTTCTACTTTTCAGACATTTTCCTACATGTGTGTTGACAGCTGGTGGGTAACTCCTAGAGAAACACTCAACATCCTTTCAAACTTCCTCTCTCTCTGTCCTTTGTCCTAAAGTTGCCATTCTGTAAATAGTGGCTATACATGTACACCAGCTGCTTCCCTTCCCCACTACAGAAAATCCTTCATTTTTTTTTTAACTTTTAGTTGTAGTGGACACAATGCCTTTATTTTTTTTTTCATTTATTTTTATATGGTGCTGAGGATCAAACCCAGCTCCTCATACATGCTAGGCAAGCACTCTACCACTGAGCTGCAACCCCATCCCCAAATCYTTCATTCTTGAGTAATTCATACACTTACAGAGGTCGGTTGGTAGCGGTTATCATTTGTTTTTGGAAACCAGCTTCCTTAGGTGCTTATGTTAATACAGATCAAGTTGACTTCTTAAATATTTGGTTGGCCACCTCCTGGCTCTTAAAGGATCAGGTATGTTGATCGTGTKGCAGCATTAGTTCCAGAAGCTTTCCCTCCACCCCTAGGTAACAGTAGGGAGGGTCTCTGAATTCACAAAGTCCTTATCTGTGTCCCTGAGGTGATCTTGGGTGACATCCCMTTGTAATTTCTGTACATCTCCCTTCCCCCTGCCCAGGAGCTTCTCAGGGCCACACCTGGAATCCTAGACTCTKACACTGCTTGAAGGAGCCAGAGAGAGTTCAGTTTATTCACCAGGAAACTGGGCTTAGAGGGTTTAGACCACCTGCCTAAGCCCATGTGGCTTTTCAGTGAACTAGGTCCCAGTCCACTTAAAAGTGCTCTTTTTACTCAAAGTGAATTCCAAGCTAAGTTAGACATTTCCAGGAGCCTGCAAAGTTGTGAAAATYACTTCATTTGTGAAGTTTTCATGCTCCCCAAAAATTAGCCCCAGGATACTTCTGACCACCTGAGTCTATTCACTGTACTTAGGTAGCCGCTCAGTCTCAGTGGTTTTGTGCTTCCTGGTCCTGTTTGTATTTTCCACTGATTGGATCAAGTAGTTGTGAAGCAGCAGTTCCTTGTAATGCAGTGTTCCCCCCACCCCAGGTACGTCGTTCCCCATGTTTTCAGATGTGATCAACCCCATGCTGTGACATGCCACTTTACATTCACCATAAATGTGTGGCTGTCAATGTGTTTTAACCAAGAGTAAATTAAAAATTCTGTCTTTCCTCTCATTTCTGACTCATGGCACTGTGTTGAAAGTGAAGGTGATTCAACAGTTACTAATAGGGCAGTATGTAAAAATGTGGATGTGAAACTGATGCGATTCTGCAATCTGTATTTGGGGTAAAAATGGGAGTTCATAACCCACTTGATTCTAATGTATGAAATATGATA